TAATTAATTGTTATTATAATAGTAAGTACATGTAACATGTGTAACGTACGTGTAACAAGGACACCTTAAATTAAAATAAAGTGTTACCGGACATTGTATTTCAACAGAAATTTTTTATAATGGACATTTTCTTGTAAAGTAGCACACACTCTACAATCTGTTTGTGTGCTTTATTTGTCACATGACACCAGCGGAAATAGCAGCTTCAAAAGTTTAGCGGTCAGAGTATCGAGGAGTGGCAAACCGAAAGGTTAGATGTAACTAGGGAATGGCAGATTTGTAACCACACACCTTAGATATATTCTCACAAAATCCTTTAGGTTCATGGACTTTACTTGAACAAAAAAACTTAAAGTTTTTCAAATGAATGCACTGTGTACCAGTGCCAGGTGAAATAATTTGGTGCCAAAACAAACAGATAGATCACGTTTGAATTTTCAGGAGCTCACCTCAGGAGCTTCTCTGGGGAACAAAAGTATTTTCAAAACAAGTGATACTATGATTTCTGAAAAAATACCACCACCTGCTGGTGGAAAAAGAATAGCTGCATGGATTATTGAGAATATTTGGTCACTGCGTTGCTCTTGTGTGGTCCTAAAATTGTGGATTGCATCTAAAACTTTTCTGATACAAATAAATGGCGCCTGGAATGTACCCGCTGTCCTGTCCTGAAACAGCCTTCTCCCACTCCTCCTCCTCAACTACAGTCACATGGCTCCATTTCTGCTCTTCCTCGAGTGCTCTAATCATTTGCTGCAGCTCAGCGTTACTCCCGGTCATCAGTGTTCCCTTTTGTAGTCACGCACACATAGTTCCAGAAAATGATGGAGTTTAGGAAAATATCTGAAATTGACATGTTCTATATGCATCCAAAAAGTACAACATTGACATCACATTAATAAAACCACAAAGTTCTTGAATAATAACACTAAACGTGGGCTGTGTCTGAAAGCTTAGGCAGCTGACTTGATGCAGGCAGGGATTTGTGCAGGAAGGTAGCTCCTGAAACTGATTTTGGATGGGCCTCTGGGGCAGCATAATTTAATGATCTACAACTATTTAGGGAGAGCTTTGGTGATAACTAAGCAAATGTTTAATTACTACAATACTAAATTCTCACTAGAAATGACATCAAACGTGGAAAAAGTTGTTGAAAAATGTACATTTAACTGACCACCAACTGCATCTTTCAGACTGCTCAGCTGTCATGAACCCACAGGACTGTGGGATAACACAGGCAGTGAAGAATGCATGCGATATGTGATATGATCATTGAATTTGGACGTGCCTTTTTTGCTTCCTATCTCTGTATACTGTCTGCAGAGGCAGCATTTTTCAGCTTTCAGATGCAGCCGTGAAATGTAGGCCTACAAGTTACCTGGTTTTGTAGCATCCCAGAGCTCTTTGATGACTGTCAAAGGCACCCGCCCAACACTCAGAGCTCCAACAATTATAACAATATCATATGTTTCTGAAACAAAGAAGAAAAAAAGGCATGTTCTATGATTCAGGTTATTAGTTATAATACCTAAAACGTGGGTGAATCAAAATGTGGAATCTTTATGAGCAGAATGTCCTACAGACTGAACCAGCAAATTCCTTTCAAAAATGCTATGGTTTTAATAACTCTGTAACTGGTTATCTTTATTACAACAGTCTGATAATGCAACATGACATCCAAACAGGCATTTCTGATAAGAAAATACAGATTACATTTTGACAGTAAAAGCCCAAAAAGTCCACAGCATGGTTACCAGCTTCAAAAGAAATTTCATCCTGACCAAGCAGGCATTGCATAAGCTGCTGATAAAGTCCAGTTTTCTTTGCCAACTCCAGCGTCCGCAGACTTCCATCTATGCCAATGAAGTGACGAAACCCCATTTTCTTCAGCTTTCCTCAAACAAATGGGATTGAGAAAACCATATCTCTTTGCTCTACCAGGTTTATCACATTCTCTTGTGCCCACCGGAATTCAAGTAAAGCAATGCTTACATGTGCAGAGACCAGGCCTGTTCCACAGGCCACATCCAGGACAGCGGCCTTCTCTCTGTCGCCTCTGAAAAATGAGCTCACACACTCAGCTGCTAACAAGGGGGCACGGTACTCCAGCAGCGCTACATCCTGAGAAAGCAAATTACACATGAAACAGTTGTACTGGAAAAAGTACTGGTGCCTAAAGTTTACCTGCTCATAGTTCTCAGTCCAGGTATCATAGAAGCTGACCTTATCCTGGGCCCCTGTGTTTTTATGGGCTGACAGGATCACATTCCTCACGTCAGAAAAGGTCCGACTGGTGTTTGCCATTCCTTTAGGAAAAATTACACAAATTCTGTCCTTTAGGGCAATTTCTTATAGAACATTTTTTAGACCTCTTTACAAGTCCATACATTTATGACGTTTATATAAATGCTAAAGATATATGTACACATACATTGCATTTGGATAAAATCATGCATATATGCATTTGTAAATAAAATATACCTCTACATGCAACTATATGATACTCATGTCACATATGTACATAACACATCCAATAAAACATTACACATGAAACCAATTTAATAAACCACATTTAAAAATATGATAACAATTTACTTAAACATCAGTCCCTCACTCAAATGTTATTTAACTGAGAGTGTGCACATACATCACTGAGATATTGAAAATTCCTTAAATTGTTATTCTTCGTCCTTCCAGTAGAGGGTGGCAAAGAAAATCAACAACAAAGTTTTCCAAACTCCCTACTCATGATAACATCAGATTTATATTCCACAACCGCCCAATTTATGGTTTAATAATAAAATGGACGCCTTTAAAGAGTTTTAAACACTTTTCGACTGCTTTATAGTGATTTCCATGTAGGGGAGCAAACCAAATCCGGTTTGCATTGTTGTGGTTTAGCGGAGAGACTGGAAACTCCTTGCCGTGGATCGGGCCTGTTTCAGCACATAACCTATTCAAGGTAACCGATTGATATTTAGCTGGTTTAATTCCTAAATCGTGAAAAGAACATATATTCGCAGATATTTTCTTTACAGTTTAATGTGACATGTTGCCGCAGCAAACGGAGAAAATACGCTAGCGTAATGTTTATGTTAGGTTTTAAATTCAAGCGTTGCTAAGTAGTATACTTGCTCGATCGCTTTAACATGGCAGACTGTGTCTGACTCAAAAAGGGTGAAGACTGATTATGTTTTCCATGAAAATGAATTGAAGTTAATCTACGGCATTGTATGTAAACAATCCTTCGCGCGTGTGCGACTTAACGTTAACTTACCTGTGGTCGCCGGACTCCATATATCTGCCATGTGAATTTGTAAAAGTAGCACTTAGTATTAACTTACCCTTTATTTATTTGTCCTTTTTAGACATTTGTTTGTATATTTCCTCAGCTGTACACCATCTGTTGTTTTAACATCTTTAAAATGTGTAAAATATACTTGTCTTTCACAGTAATTCTTTGTTTCCAGGTGCTTAAGAAGTCACAATGTCAATTTTGGGTCTGAAAAAGAAGCAACCGAAGACTTTTAAAGTCAAAGTCAGCACCATGGATGCTGAAATGGAGTTCAGTTGTGAGGTAAACTCATATGAACATACAAAACTGTGTTTTGGTTTCTGTCTGCCTGTATTATCATGTGTTTTGTTTATCTGTGTCTTATAGGTAAAATGGAAAGGGAAAGATTTGTTTGACCTGGTGTGTCGGACCATTGGTTTGAGGGAAACGTGGTTCTTTGGACTTCGATACACAGTGAAAGACACCTATGCCTGGCTGAAGCCTGATAAACAGGTGAGATGTAAATGCAGTGCAGAGCTGGTACTGAGAGCATTATATAATAATATAGGAATACCCTGACAAGTTTGTTGGGTTTTTAAATCCGTCTAGGTTTTGGATCAAGAAGTTCCAAAGGACTCTCCAATCACATTTAATTTTCTTGCCAAATTCTTCCCTGAGAAAGTTGAGGATGAGCTTGTTCAGGAAATTACTCAGCACCTCTTCTTCTTACAAGTATGTGGGAATTGTTCTTGTGAATCTGGCATGATTTCTCACCGTGATGGTCTTTTCTGCTCTACAGAAACCTCTTTTTGGGTTTTGCAATGATTTATCTTGTTTTCTTTGAGCAAAGGTCTTCTAGAGTTAAGATTAAGCTTCTTCCTGTTTCTTTACCAAGGTCAAAAAGCAGATACTAGATGAGGAGATATTTTGCTCTCCAGAAGCCTCTGTTCTTTTGGCGTCGTATGCGGTTCAAGCCAAGGTAGGTCTCTGTATCAGTGCTTGATCTAATTATATAGAGTGTCTAATATTAAATATTTCCTGTTTGTCTTCTTTACTGCAGTATGGGGACTATGATCCAAACTTTCACAAGCCAGGTTTCTTAGCTCAAGATGAGCTCTTGCCCAAAAGAGTGAGTAATGGCTGTATCATTTGAGAATCGGTTCATTTATCAATCTCCAGCATTTGCATTCATTAACGTGACTTGTGTGTTTAATTTCTGCGCTTTATTGTCCAGGTGCTGATGCAGTACCAGATGACATCAGACATGTGGGAAGAGAAGATAACAGCTTGGTATGCTGAACACAGAAGCATCACAAGGTAAGACTGTGCATATCCTGTCGTGTCCCAAGTAAACCGCCTGGTCATGAAAGGCACACTGTGTTTGTTTTGTGTTTGTAGGGATGAAGCTGAGATGGAGTATCTAAAAATAGCGCAGGATCTAGAGATGTATGGAGTTAGTTACTTTTCTATTACAGTAAGTTTCTATTTTTATTTATTAAAATATTTCTTTATTGTTTCCTGGTTGGAAGTAAGCTAACCTCTCACAAACTCAATGTACAGTGGGGTCTACTCTTCATTTGGGATTTTAAAGAAGGATCATTAAAAATGTTTGTGTACTTCTTTAAAAATGTTATTAAATTAGATAAAGCATTTGGTTGTGTCTGGTTATCTCAGACTTTTGGATCCCACTATTTCTTGCTTTTCAAAACTGAGATCACTTGGAAGGATTACATTTATCTTGGTATATTTTCATGTGTATTGTGTGTAGTTACCACCGCATTATAGATGATGAATTAAATCTCTACTAAATCTCACAGCAAAACAAGAGGGACACAGAGCTGCTTCTTGGAGTTGATGCTCAGGGTCTTCACATCTACAGCCCCAACAACAAGCTCAGCCCCAACAAATCCTTCCCCTGGAGTGGAATCCGAAACATCTCGTACAGCGAGAAAGAGGTTGGGAGGAAAGAAAATCCTGACCAAAAATATAAATGATAATACAAAATTGCGCAAACATACCATACGTGTTTCTTCTCAGTTTACTATCAAACCATTGGACAAGAAAAAGGAAGTTTTTAAATTCTACTCCTCTCAGCTCAGAGTGAACAAACTGGTGAGTTACTTTTCTAAGTGTTTGTGTAATAAAGTGTTTCAAAATAGTTGCTAATGTCATTTGTATAAATTAGATCTTACAGCTGTGTATTGGGAACCACGACCTGTTCATGAGGAGGAGGAAGGTGGATTCCATAGAGGTCCAACAGATGAAGGCGCAGGCCAAAGAAGAGAAGGCCAGGAAAAAGGTCTGTCATTTCACTTCCTTTCATTAGTTTAATGATTATTGTCATTAAGCTTGTTCATTTATGATAAAACTTTGTGGTGTTACATGTCTTATGATTTGTTCTCTTGAATTATTCATTTAATGTTTATTGTGTGTGTTAATCGAGCTTTTGCTAAATATAATGAACCGTACACCTATAAACATTAAAATAACACAGAGGCTTAATATATACCAACTTATGCAATACGTTTAGCTTCAGTATGTGCAGGATAAAGCACACTGCTGTTTAAAAATTTGGGGTTAGTAAATTTGTTATATTAATAGAAATGTTTAATATAATACAAATTATATTATAAATTTAATATAAAATAAATTAATATATTCAATCAGCAAGGACGCATTCAATTGATCAAAAGTGACTGTAAAGACAATTATAATGTTTCAAATATTTTTAGTTCGATTAATGCTTTCTATTCATCAAAGAATCTTGGGGGGAAAAAATAAAACTGTTTCCACAAAAATATTAAGCAGCACAACTGTTTTTAACGTTGATAATAGTAATAAAAAATGTTTCTTGAGCATCAAATCGGCATGTTAGCATGAATTCTGAAGGATCGTGTGACACTGAAGTAATGGCTGCTGAAAATTCAGCTTTGGCATAAAAAAAGATAAATTACATTTTAAAATCTATTCAAATAGAAAATATTTTAATATTGTGAAATATTATTACAATTTACTTTTTTATTTACTGTATTATTGATCAAATAAATGCAGCTTGAAGACCATAAGCAATGTTTTCAAAAACATTTAAAAAATGTCAATGTACTTGAATTAGATTTTTATCAAATTTATTTGTGTCATCTTGTATTATCTTGTGCAAGATCTCTCCCATTGTCTTGTGTGTTTGTGTGTGTGTTTAGGTTGAGCGTCAGATTCTTGCACGGGAGAAGCAGATGAGGGAGGAAGCAGAGCGAGCGAAAGAAGAGATGGAGCGTCGTCTGTTCCTACTACAGGACGAGGCTCGAATGGCCAATGAAGCTCTAGTGAGGGGTTTGCCAAGCTTAAAATTGAGTGATGCCAAATAGTTTACTTTCTTTTCCACGCCAGCTTGTAATATATGTCCTCCTAGCCACAGCGGTATAAAAGTATGTGGTCCAGGCATAAATTTGAGATGAACTGCAGAGCTATTAAGCTCCAAACCATTGTCCTGGACTCCCATTAGAATTCCATCCATGCTTTGAGACTCCCTGAGCCTGATTCTGTAAGCCTTTCTTATCGGTCTCCGTTTCTGCAGCTGCGCTCCGAGGAGACGGCTGACCTTCTGGCAGAGAAAGCCCAGATCGCAGAGGAGGAGGCCAAATTACTGGCCCACAAAGCAGCTGAAGCAGAACACGACAGGCAGAGACTGGAGGTCACAGCCCTCAAAACCAAAGAGGAGAAGAGACTGATGGAGCAGAAGATGAGAGAAGCAGAATCCCTGGCGGTTAAGCTTGTTGAGCAGTCAGAAAGGAGGTGGGCCAGTAGGGTTGTCAGTAGTTGATACCAATACAAGTGAAAATTCTGGATACTAATTTCACAACAAAACGATCATGTTAATGAACACACTTCTAGTTAAAAAGTTGAATATTAATATACACTGGCCAAAAGTTGGAATATCAAGATTTTTTTAAATTTTTTGGAAAAAAGTTACTTATGCTCTCCAAGGCTGCTTTTATTTGATCAAAAATATAGTAAAAACAGTAATATTATTATAATTTACAATAATTGTTTTCTATTTAAATATATTTTAAAATGTAAATAATTCCTGTGAATCCTGAAAAAGTTATCATGGTTTGCACAAAAAAATATTAAGCAGCAAAAAAAATTTCAACATTGAAAATAAGAGCCATTAATAATTGAACACCAATAGTAATTGAGCATCAGCATATTAGAATGATTTCTGAAGGCTCATGAAACACCGAAGACAGGAGTAATGGCTTCTGAAAATTCAGCTTTACCATCACAGGAATAAATAACATTTTAAACACTTTCAAAAATTCTTAATTATTACAAACGTTTAGCCACCTGTGTAAATATCAATATAAATAAAAAACAATAGCATGTAGCCTTTAGTTATTCTCTCCTAATTAAAAAAGTTTTTAAAGTACTCCAGTAAACATAAATTAGGAGCAGTGAGTGGTTTTCTCTTTTTCTTTTTAATATAGTTCGTAGTATTTTAGTGCTAAAATACTTGACACTCAGTGCTGTGATTGTCCAACCAGAATCAAGTATTACTGAGAAACATTAAATTAGAGAAGTTCAATTCTTGTCTTGTATTTTGTGGTGTTCAGACTGAAGGAGGCAGACCACCTGAAACAGGATCTGAATGAGGCTAAAGATGCAGAACGGAGGGCAAAGCAGAAACTCCTGGAAATCACCAAACCAACATACCCTGTAATGTTGCTATGACATGTAACAAAAGTATTCTGCTGTTTATTATCCTTATAATGATTTAAAAGCATGTCATTTGTGTCATGCACTCAGTTAATAGCAGCATACTCCAGCCCTCCTCCACCCACTGGGCCGGAGAGTCCAGATATGACTGTAGACATGGGCGGCTCCATAAGAATGGACTTCAAGGACTCCGATATGAAAAGACTTTCCATGGAGATTGAGAGAGAACGGTATGCAGTTGATCACATTCTGTCTGAAGAACTATTGAAAAATGAAGCTGAATATATGCTGCTGTCTCCTTGTGTGTGTGTGTGTGTGTGTGTGTGTGTGTGTGTCAGGCTAGAGTACATGGAAAAGAGCAAACATCTTCAAGACCAGCTGAAGGAGCTCAAATCAGAGATTGAGTCCCTGAAGTTGGAAGAGCAGCAACAGGCTGGACTCTACAGTCTCAGGAGTTACGCTGAACCTCCTTATATTCCCCACAGCAATGTAAGAAACACTCAGACATACTGAATGCTCACCACAACTAATTTTTGGGAAAATAGGCATTGTTACATGGTTAATTAAGCAGCCTTGGTGAACATGAGACTTCTTTCAAAAACATAGAAATCTTACTGACCTTGATATAATAAATACACTAATACACAAAGGTTCAGTAAATTTTTTTGTTTTGTAAAGTTTCTTATGCTCACCAAGGCTGTTTTATTTGTTAAAAATGTGGATTGTATTTATTTATTTATTTATTATAAATATGTAAATAGTTTATATAATATATGGGTTTAGAAATTTGACTACTTGCACTGAACTTCAAAGTGGATGGTTGCTGTCAAATTACATGAATATTTTAAAGGGGTCATATGATGCGATTTAAAGTTTTCCTTTCTCTTTGGAGTGTTACAAGCTGTTCGTGAATAGATAAGATTCCTAAAGTTGCAAAGACTAAAATCTCAAACCCAAAGAGATATTCTTTATAAAAGTTAAGACTCATCCACGCCCTCCTAAAACACCTCATTTAAACACTCCCCCACATGTCTACGTCAATGTGTAGGAAGATTTGCATAACACCACCCAAATGTTTACACAAAGAAAGAAGGCGTAACTTTGATTCTCGCTGTAGTATTGTTGCCGCTGCCATGTCGTGGAGACGCTGTTTTGTTGTGCAAGCAAAACTACTTTGTTTGATCTTCCAAAAGAGGACACAACTAGAAATCAGTGGTTAAGTTGTATTTACAACACTGTTCCAGAACAGTTCAACCCAAATATTCAGATGTGTGCAACACATTTATGGAGGATGATGACTGTTTCCTGGGAGAGTAGCCTACAATGCCGGTGTTCTGACAAATAATGCTGACTTACAGCCTGTAAGTATGTTTTCACGATTCAGATGCGGTGTTTTGAGTAGTGTAGAGTAGCACTTGTTGTTTGTCATTTCTCTGATCACAAATGCAGACATGGTTTTGTTTACGCGGCGCGATACGCAGCGCAACACGTAAAAAGACAGTACAAGTCATTATAATCCGTAATTATGTCCCCACTGGATGCAACAAATGTCTCGTTTGTAATGGGTTTTATTGGTTTTGTCTGGTTGCTCCAGGACACGGCATCACAATATGGTAAGGGGCGTAACATTTCCGTCACACGCTTGAGGTATTCAGCCAATCACAATGCACTGGATAGCTGGCCAATCAGAGCACACCTCACTTTTCAGACCGATGAGCTTTGTAAAAATCGACGCGTTTCAGAAAGGCGGGGCATAGAGGAGAAACAATAATTTACAGTATGTGGAAAATAATGTGTTTTTTTAACCTTAAACCGCATAAACACATTTCATTACACCAAATACACAAAA